TGATCGTCCGACTCGTCGCCTGAAAGCAAACGCGTTTCTTTTTGAGGCGACGAGTCGGGTGCGATCGGCTCGTGTCCTGATAGCCGCTTTGCCCCCTCAATTTGGCTAGCAAACCGACCCGACTAGACCCGATCCCCCAATAATGGGCACCCCGTCGAACCAACGAATCTGCAATCTCACGATTATGGTCCGGTAGCCTAACAAAGACTGTTCGGGAGGCATCAAGGTGAGGTGGCCAAAGCATTTTATACTCTGCTGCCCAAAATACCTCGTTCGTGATAATGTCTCTCTTGGTCTCATTTACTGATCTCCTGAGACATTTCATTTATAGTAGGTGGTCAGCTTTCCAATGATCGTTTTTGTCAGGGCCATATCTGACACTGGTAGGTGAGTGGTGGTATTAATGTAATATTATCGCACCAGTGCAGGAAGGGGCCCCAAAGTATAGTCGTCCTACTATGGAGGAGCAAAATAACACCTGCCGTGATACAGCGTGTCGTAAGAAGGAACTAAAAGTGCGTAGGTCTGGTCTCCCAAAAAGCGCCAGTTTGAAAGAAGTCGCAGAAACACAAGCAAATCCGTCTAATAGAAGAGCTTCTGAACCAGTAAGACTAATGAAGGACAGTGGTCAAAACCAAAGGGACTTTCTGACCCGAATCCTTATCTGTCGGACACGTCTCTCCGGATTGCGTTCGCACCATGTATGAAACAGGAAAGTGTATCAAGGGGACGGCCCAATGGACGGCTGCTTGTACATGTAGTGTAAAGAAAAAAAAGGCAGGGGGTTAGGGGGGGGGGGGGGGGGGGGGGGCGGGAAAAATACCAAGAGGCAAGGAAAGGGAAAGGTGGAAAGTGTTTGTTCAAGGCTTATACCCTGGTGATGATTATTGGTGATTTTTTTCCCTAGAGCGTTATGTAGGTTTGTCTAAGGACAGGGGTGAGTTGGTGAAGGACATTGTTCACATTCTGGCATTTTATCTAAATTTCTCTGATGACGCACGTTACTGCTCTGTGTTATTATTGTTTTGTTACTCTTTGTCTGTCTGTCTGTCTGTCGAACTCTCTTTCCAGTACAAGTAGGCCCACATGTTTGAGTATAGACGTTCCCCCCCCCCCCCCTTTCCCCAACCAATAAACAACAAAAACAACAAATAGCAAGGAGCAAAACAAAACAAAACAACCCCCCCCCCCCCCCCCAAAAAAAGCAACTTGCTCACAGACCCACATAAATCAATGATGACACACAGCAGCCACTTGAGTGTGATAGAACCCATGTACTGCAGGAACATGCTGATAATACACGTAGGTGTATTTTTTTTTTTATGTCACGCATTAAAGCTCAAGAGAAGGAAATTGAGTTTTAACCGCTGATTTGAATTTCGTTAAGAATAATGGTTGACCCTCGTAAATTCGCTGGCTAATGCGTTCCACAGTGAGGGGGCGTGGTGTTAAAAAGTTCTCCCTCCAAGTTTCTGACTTACTCTTCGCAGGTTTTGACAGTCTTTTACGTACGAAGAGGCCGGTCTCAAAGGTCGATGTGATGTGTATTCGATGACCATACCGATCTTTTAATTAAAAAAGGACAGCTGCTTTGTGCTGTATCGCATCCTATCCCCGTGAGCTAGAGCAATGAATAATTTTTAAAAATAATATAATATGTACATTGTATAACATTATACTGGCGACTGCATCAGAAGGGACTGTTTTATTTTTATTTGCGTTTTAATGCTGGTGTTATAAAAAGCGCCGCCCATCGACACGATGTTCATCGTTTAGGAAGCGGGCTTCGGCGTTAACTTACTTGTAAGGCCAACCCGAGCATAGAAAGATACATTGTCCTAATAGCCTACTATTACTAATGGAAAAACCGAGATCCTCGTTAAGTCTCCCCACACGGAAATCAAACTCGGGTCTTCTACGTGTGAGGAGAGCGAAACGCCTGATGTTACATCATACAGATCTACGCTGGTGAACTAACACTATCAAACACAAAACAACAATTAATAATTATACATGTACACCCTCCCCCGACCCGCAAAAGAACCTGGTTTTATTTTTCTTAGTTTTCCCAAGAAGTGCTCGTGTTCAATTAATTAAGGCTAATATTATAATACAACATTACAGGCCCAATGTGTAGGCCTAAAGAGGCCTACAAGAAGTGAAAATGAAAGTAAGGCTAAGCGCACTGGATTTTTTAAGGGACTTGAAGTTACCGATCATGGTTCCGTAGAGAAAGAAGGGTTGTTAGATAAGAGACGGCTGTGTCTTTAAAAAAAAAAAAAAATCGACGAGGATGGGATTCGAACCCACGCGGGGAGACCCCAATGGATTAGCAGTCCATCGCCTTAACCACTCGGCCACCTCGTCTTGCTCGTTTTAGGAGCAAACAACGGTAATATCGTTTGAGCTGAAGGTACCGTATGAATAAACTCTGTTTCGGCCGATTTGGAACAAAAACCCTACTTGGAAACAGCTTTCCTCTTATTATGCTACCTAGAATGATGCCTTCACTTGGGACACAGCGTTAAATAGGATTGTTTTGATGTGTTGATCTAGATCTACAGTCTAGATCTTGGCGAGTGTTTTGTATGTATAGAGTAAGAGATCTAAAAAAAAACCCACATAGAGCAGGCTCCTCGCATGCCAGTTTGCATTTTTATTCGGAAATCAGCCAAATGATAACCTTTCATGCGGTGAAACAATTTTTTTTATAACAGCTGTGCAGCAAGTAGCTTCCATAATTTGGTCTGTCTCAAGGAGGTCTGTCTCAATCTCAAATTGAAAGAAACGTTTCAGTTTTTGTTTCCCCAGCCAGCATCTCTCCCCTCTCTCTCTCTCTCTCTCT